CTCTGCCTTCAGTGATCCCACCACTCAAGGGAATCTTTGACGATCTGTAACCTTCCTGTGAAGCTCTCCCAATTCAAATTCATGTCAGATTCCTTAATCCACTTTGATTTACACCTTCATGCTGCTTCCGTTCAAGGCGCATCGGCCCTGATCGTGGCTACATTACCTAGTAGTTCAAGCGGTCCCACGACTAGCGATAGAATACGGAAGGTCACAGTCGCGTCGATTCCCAAATCGTTCTAGTCGCGAAGTATCGACCGCCGTTTTAGGCACCACAACTAAGCCGAGGTTCATATGACTCAACGTCATATGCGTTTCGTCGAAGATCATCACCTAGCGTTTATGAAAAACCAGTGCACAGGGCAGTCTGGTGACCGAAGCCACTTACGAAAAACTAATAAAAAGGGCAGGTGGTGCCGTTGGTACTGAAAATATCTCTCAAGTCAGCTGTTAAAACACAGTCCGTGTTTTACCCAATAAATATTCCGCGCTGATCTCCCTAACTTCACTACACATCTGGGCTTCGATCACACCGCCAGCGGAATCTTCTAAAATGCTCACGGTGGGTCTGACTGTGAATAAACACTTCGTTCCATATAAAATAACAAAATTTCAGTTTGGCATTCTTCTGTTGAGCCTTTGTGGTCTCTGCGCTGGATATCGTCAGACTTTTGACACACGTACGTCTCATGCTTTTTCCACTGTAAGAGATACTGATGAAGAAAAGTGAGCACACTGGTCGCTTTTGGCGCGCCCTCTCTCATATTCCTGATTCGCCAGATCAATGTCTACACTGCCCTTCTTTACCACATCCCCCTATTCACGTAGAGGAAGCGTCGCAAGTAAGAGTCTAACCGATTCACTATGTCTCCACCTGTTTCGCGGCGGATCGCCTTCGGTCGCACCATACGCTCATAGGTGCATAGGAGCCTATAAACGCTTCACTCGCTGGTATAGAGTCAGTACCCGACTAGTCCCGCATTCGTTTCAAACAACTCCTTTTTGAGCACACGCTCTCCAGCTGTTCAGTTCCCCTGAGAGACACTTTGAGGACACCCACTCTTTTCAGTGCACATATGGGAGCAGGCATTTTTAAATGATGACACAAACAGTACGCGAAAAATTCCTTCTATTCTTTCAGAATCGTGCGGCGATGACCATGGAAAATACATGGACGACACGACTCGCCACAAGCTTCTTACAGTATCACGAAGGAACTCGATTTACACTTGCTCTAGGAGAGTCGCCCAACAGTGAGGGCGGCTATCACCTACCCGCCAAAAACTTATTCAAGATGGTCAGTGTAAAAGTTAGCAAGCTGCAATGCGACAGAAAGGGTTCTTGGGTGCCGATCCTATCAAAATGGACCCCTAACGAAACCCTATTGTATTGCATATAACGCAATTGTGAACTCATCAACAATCACCAAGGAGCATGCAAACATCTTTTTCTTGTTCCCCACCTACGAGCTGTAGGGTCTCCAATTCCAGCAAAATGCTAGGGAACTTCGGATTCAACTCACCTGAACCACAAGTGTTACGCGCCAATAATCCACAGATAACTGCTAACTTTCACAGCCAGTTCAGCCTTATTCACCCTTTAAATTTAGAGATGGAATTGCGACCTAGAAAAAGAGGCGAGGACCTTAACCCAAGGTTGTCCTAAGAACGTGTCAGGCGCACCGGAACATGGACGGAATCTGTACCAGTAAGTAAAATAGCCCAACTTTCGCTCTCACTGGTAGAGAATCCTTCAGATGTTGTCCTTATTTCAGCGGTAGTGTGACAGGCACTAAGCAAGGAAAGTACAATTTTCTGAAGCGATGCAGTAGACGCATGGCTTTGGGAATCGGATCGCCTTCCTATGGGACCTAACGCTACCTTTAATGACACAAGAATGTACTCTTTCGCCAACGTGAGTCACATGTTTGCTATCCCTTGCGGTTTCCGTGTCTGTTGATAAATTTTTTAGATGGCCTACCAAGAGATTTACGAAGTCGGTTGCCATTACGAACAGTGTGAAAGCGGTAGTTCAGCCGAAGCTTCGGTTCTCTGTATCTACAACACCGAGTGAGTAACACAAGCACCTTTTTCAAGAATGTTGTCGACCAGTCCCATATCAAATTCAGAGTTCCCCTGAACGTGCAGCTGTACGAAATAGGAAGCTGGAACCAAACTATTGCGGGTTGTGCATGGAATGATACAGTGTGTGAATTTATTAAGCTCCCTGAACCGGAAAAAATCGAATGTGAAGATCTTCTCTGCAAATTACCTTACAAGGTTCAGAATGGATTCCTATGAGTTTTCAAAGTCTTGTCTGCGACTGCTAAATAAACCTTCGCATGTCATTTCTTGGATTACACTTGAATGAAACAGTGGATTTGGCGAGAAAACGCGTTGTGACGTTTAGTGTATCCAAGCTGCATCATACCGAAGCTGATTGATGCCATACGCACAATGGTGCCCTTTTATGAAACCACCCAGGTAGAACACCTGGTGAAAAATTTTGCAAAATCGACCTCCAAGATCTGCAAGCCGCATAGTAGATGCAACTTCGATGCCCGAATCCAATGGTACTCAAACAGGACTTACTAACGATAATTTGAAGGGCGGGAGGGGGGCACAACGGTGTTATGTTGC